AGTTACATAAAAAAACCAAATTAGAAAACTCGCTTACTAATATCTATTCATAATTCAAATGTGACAATAAATAGGTGAGAAAAATGTTGTGAGTTAACTTTTCTATGTTTACCTTCCTCAATGTTTACCGAGTAGATTTCTTCATTAACTTTTGACCTTTCATTCCCCCTTATCGTTTTCGTCTGACTTGTCGAGAACATTTTGAATAAATATTTATTTTGTTTTAATCGATTGGTTTAAATGGCTGGATCATTGTAAATACAATGAAAAAAGGGAAACCTAAAACAGATTCACTTGCAATTGCTAGAACATTATGAGGTTGTGAAGACTGTTGAGTTAGTTTTTAATATCATGAATCGATCAATGTTAGACCAACATTGGAAATCTGGAAGCAATGGATGGCCGTTACATTAGATACCGGCTCAGTGGTCCAGCAGTTAGGTGTTCGCACATAAGACCGAAGATCCTCGGTTCGAATCCCATGAGCTTCAGGTGTCGCGGATACTCACTGCTGATAAGTCCTATTCAAGGACAAAATGGCGCTCCAGTGCTTCCAGATTTCTAATGGTGCTCTAACATTGATCGATTCATGATATTAAAAACTAACTCTATAATCTTTATAACCTCATAATGCTCTAGCAAATTCAGCACGTTAAATTTGTTGGCGATAATCTACTTGAACACATGTGCGATTTATACTACTGACTAATTTAGTTGTTTTAAAAATGTGGACATTATTTTATAGACGATCTATTAAAAACAATTTGGAACCTTCAGTAAAATATTTTATAGTTTAAACCGTCATTCACTATGTTAGCACAATATAGAAAACAACTGATGGGAAAGTGTAACAACAATCTTAAATGTCGCTGAAAGTTAACAGACAAGATAAAGTTAGATATCAATGAGTGACATTGAAATTGAAAAAGTACAAAGTAACATTAAAACTTTGAATTTTCGGAAAATACGTAGAGTTATTGAGTGAAGGTAGTTAGTTAATTATCAGTTGAGATTATCTCACAAACAAAAATTATTGTGTTTATATCATAAAGATATTACAGGCCGACTAAGATTGATCTCTTCCAAATTACTGACAGATTTATGTAATATGAAACTAAATGGCTGTTACGCCCATTCACTGACCTACTTATCATCTTTAAAAGAGTTTCTTGTGTTGACTTTTATACTTTTGTAGTTAAATACTACAGTAATAATATAAAATGAAATAGATAGTTATGTGATAGTTATTCATTGGGAATTATGATAACACTGAAATGTGGAGACTTTGACCGCTAGAAAGGAGCCTTTATTTGCTAAATTATAATTCAACGGAGATGTGGCTAGCGATACTCTGCAGGACAGATCAACGAAAGTAATTAGTAGAACATTCTACACAGCGATGTCTATCCAAACGAAGGATAAATTACTTAAGTTGGCTTCTTCTATGTGCATTTCCAAATTCAGCTGCTCTTGTGGAGATAAATATATCGGGCGCATTACTAAGAAACTTAACCAACGAATGAGTATGGTTTACGAAGGGTCAGTCAAGAGTAATATGCAGTTCTGTCTTAGCACACCTGGTTGATAGTGGTCATATTGTAGATAAATCTAGATCTTTTCGGGTGATCTATCGTATACCTCAATCATTTCCCAACGGAGTTTGATCCTGTCTGCTACAGAAGCCATAGGAATTCGTACATTCAACCCCAATTTATGTGTTCAGAAGAAATTCGTCACACCCCTATCCCTTTATATCTTTATTTTATTTATTCTTAATACCTACTTGTTTCAGTGTTTTGTAGTAATTATTTTAAGTCTGTTTATCCTTATTCGACCTACTCTCTTCAACATTGAACTACTGACAAAAATTTTTGTTATCGTATTTTATAGTTATCTTACTACTACTATCAGTACACCTGTCTTCCTAATATCAACTTATACTTCTATCTATTATGTTTGTAGTCACGTAATCTGCTTCATTTCATTGTGACTACTGACTCGAATTGCGTTGATTAGCCTAACATTTTCGTATGAAAATATTCATGTATATTGTAGAGTAAAGCCTGATGACTATCTAACCGAAAACAACAATATTGTTCGCTTATTATAATATGTGTTGTTCTAATTTCCAGAATAATTAGCTGCCTGAGATAATTAAGCTCAACTATTTACATGTAACAGTCTGTTGAGGATTATAGATTCCCAGAACTCTCTTGATAAATATCTTTATTTTGGATTTATTTCATGAACCTTGAGATTACATTTCCCACCAGAAAAATCCTTGGTTACTGTGTCATTTTAGAGTGCTATTTTGTGACTGTCCCATGGACATCTCTATGGCGTATAAATAAACTCAATTGGAGTGCTTGAATTGATTGTGTGCTTGCTGGGTGTTTGTAGAAAACAATTTCTACACTATATCGAGACCTCTTTCTGAGACCTTTTGGTCAAGGTTTACAAAAGCCTACTTGGACACTGGTTCATTGTTTTGTTCTCGATATTCGACTAAGGTGAACTAGTAATAGTTGAAGCATACCTAGAGAAAAGCGTAACACAGTCAGAAGTTGATTAAACTAGTGTAAGATTTTAAAAAAGAACATTTTCTCATTATTTCATAGATAATTTTAGTTCATGGTCAACCTAAAACAGTTTGAACTTCTTTATTTCAGCTTATCTAACTTGATATTAGAGAAAATGAGTTATTGTCAACAAAAAAAATAATACAAACTTCAAGTTGTTTTTTACACTAATAATTTTACTATTATTATTATTTTTAACAAGAATAGAAAGCAACAGACAATTAAAAAAACAGAAAGTTAATTACTTATCATCTTTGTAATAATAATTCGATTATCAAGTTTATTTCTTTGCACGACTAATTTGTTTATATAAATTAGTTGACACGGTAATTTAAGCATGACCAGTGTGATTCAACAACAAAAAAAAGTCTAATTTTATAACCCATAATTACACCAGCAGAGAATTGTTTTAAATGGTAAGATTTTATAAGCGTGGGAC